GGACCCCCCTTACTTGGTTTCGATTACTTTCAGGATTTTTAGGAAAGGGACACTTTCATCTCTGTTGACAACCAAACATGAGTAATGGGGGCGTCAAAATGTGTCGGTAAATAAAGTAGCTGAAGACTTGTTGATACCTTCCCTGTCACTGCGAAATTAGAAACGGCTAGCGCAGATTGTGTAGCTTTGTACGAAATTCAAAACAAACCAATAATACAAATAACTAAAATGAGAAACTCGTGTATTTTCATATGCCAAGCGCTAGATTTTAGTGTGTCTTACAGAAATAGATATCTCTATATTTGACAACGTCAACACGATATAATAACTCTTATAATATATGTCATCTGGGTGTCGTCTTTCATCGTTCACATCTCTGATGTCTATCTATCAGTTCATCCGTTCTTCTCTCTATTTATCTACTAAATAATAAAACGATTACGTTATTTATCTTTGAGGTTTCGTATTGTTTTAGATGAAAGTACTCTAACAAGCTGAAAACGCTTCCATATTTTGAATTTTATTTACACACGTAGTTTATTTATGGAAGAACTACTTGAGGAAACATTTTATCGAATCAAACTTTTATTAACGGTAAAAATACAAGAAACGTAAAGAAAAAAACTAACAAATTCAGTATTTTTTTATAACACTTGAAATATTCTCGAGTTGCATGCCTAAATAAGATTTTATTGCTAGTAAACGTGCTAAGTTTGATATAACACATGAATACCAGCACTAGTCGCGGTCTTATAAAGAAAGCATGAATGTTTTTTTTGATTTATGACAAACATCAAGAATATACAACAAAGCAGACAAACCATTACACCATACGTAGGCACTTTATAATGAACACTATTAAAGAAATGGAAGTTCATATAAACTATCTTTAATAATTCGTCTTTAACTCACCGTAATATAAGCAACAATTATGGAGTAAACACAGAACAGCCAATTCGATGGACAACAATATCCGAGTTTTTATACAAGATAAAAGAGAAAAACACGCCTTAAAAAAGCGCCGTGAACACGAAATAGAACGTCCGAAAGGAGTGATCTCCAGTTGTTGCTAAGCAACGATAACGTCATATTTATGAATAAAATAACATTTACACCTTTGAACCATCTGCTCAAACTTGTTTGATGAAACATGTATAATAAACATTTACTTACAGGCAGCAGACAAATAATTATTGTGTTATATTACCTACTGAATAGAACATTCGAGATTTAAAATAGTTTCTTTTTCACACATGCGCAATGAGTTCGGCAATCACGAGGGATCATAATAGGTTGCTGTGAAATAGTTTTCAGAAAATTGTGCTTGAACATGGTTAAGTAATAAGATATCTGGGCAATGAACAAACTTTAGTATATAGTCACAACAGTAATAAATAATTTATCAAAAACAACATATTATTGCTACGAAATAAATAAATAGGGCATCTAAACGTCTACGAAAATAGAATATGCGTTTAACAATGATGAAAAAACAACTAACAAAGCCGCCATTCGACATTGTTTAGCGGCGTCATGGTGTTATACGGTAAGAATATGTTTTCTTGTGTGTTTGTTTTTTGGCCTCCTAAAAACTAATATATTTCATCCTGAATATTACAATTAAATAATCACTCGCAACTAATCCACTGTAATAAACAACTTGAAATATTTTTTAAAGAAACTGGACTTGCGCAAAAATAGATCACTCAACGCCACCTGTTTATCTATTTGCTCGAGAATCGATAAGGTTTTGGTTGCCACACATACAAGAAGAACTGTCCCGAATCACTTAAGAGGTCAGAAGTTCAAGAAAAAGCCATAGACGTTACTGCACAATTGGGAAAAGGTAAAGTCGTCACAATCTGCGGATGAATTATTATCTGAATGTTTTAGATAGCCCACAGAAAAAGGTAAATAAATATAACTGAGAGAGAATATACGGAGCATGAGAACAATGTATTTCAAGAATAACTGAGAGAGAATATACGGAGCATGACAACAATGCATTTCAAGAATAACTGAGAGAGAATATACGGAGCATGACAACAATGCATTCCAAGAATAACTGAGAGAGAATATACGGAGCATGACAACAATGCATTTCAAGAATAACTGAGAGAGAATATACGGAGCATGACAACAATGTAGCTCAAGAATAACTGAGAGAGAATATAAGGAGCATGACAACAATGCATTTCAAGAATAACTGAGAGAGAATATACGGAGCATGACAACAATGCATTTCAAGAATAACTGAGAGAGAACATACGGAGCATGACAATAATGCATTTCAAGACTATTCGATGAGCAGTGATTTTAAATTTCAAAAATGTAACTTTAAATAACACCAGAAAATAGCGATACGACACATAACAATGCAAGTCATAGACTAGTTCAACAATTTAAGTCAGAAATATGTATTATACATTTAGTTTTAAACTGTCGTATACTGACAGTAAATTGAAACAATTCAAACATTTATTTTTCCCATTGAGTTTTTCTTCATGAAATACCACAAATTCATTGAAGATACAATATCACAATTCTCTCAAAAATAGGAATATTAATATGAATCACATGCAAAAACTGATGCACAATAAATTATTTTTTTTTCCAAAGAGGTTTTGCTATGTTTATTTGTCAAAAGTCTCCCATTCAGCGTTTGTATTTTCGCTATTGCCGTCTCGTCTGCTCGGTTGATAATTCATGTTGACCACTCCGTTCCCGCCATCTAGTGGCAGTGATAAGTAATGTTTTGATTCCTTAGTTGAGTTTTCTAAAGTAGTTTCTGCATTGGAACTTTCCTGGTACGCTTTTAATACTCTTTCTTTCTTACTTTCCGGTATTTGCATTTCCATGGCAGATTGTGGAAGAAATTCCAAAGAGCTTTTCTTTATTCCATAAAGGAAATACATCAGAAGACCTGAAATAAGTAAATACATATTTGGATTTAAGAAGTTTTATTAAAACGGCTAAACAAAGACAGTAGGTTTAAAAATAAGTTAAAATACTTTTCTCCAAGTTCCCTTGTAATAATCAACAGGGTTATCTCGGTTGTAAGGACAATGAACTTCGAGTTCTAAAAGGTTTCCAAGCTGTAAGGACCTAATAGTTTGATTTGTTTCAAACTTCGCACAAAGCTACGCGAGGGTTATCTGGTATTTAGTAGTGACAGACTAGAAGGAAGGCAGCTAGTAAACACCATTCACCGCCAATTATTGGGCTTCTCTTTTAACAACGAATAGTGGGATTGGCCATCACATAATAATGTCTCCAAGACTGAAAGGGCGAACATGTTCGGTAACGGAGATTTGAACCCACGAGCCGCAGATTGCGAATCGAGCGCCCTAACCACCAAACCATGCAAGGTCGGAAGCTAACAGTAGAGTTTACGAAAGGTTCCTTATCCAGAAACAAAATTCAGCATTTGTTTCCGGTAAGAACGGAACATGATTGAATCTTTATTTTGCCTAGGGTGCATCAGTGTTCTGTTTATACGTTAGTTTCAATTTTATACAAATACTGACAATTATTAAAAACCAACAAAAATGTTCTTTTATTTTACAGCTGTTCAAGTGGCAATCCTACCATGATTATTACTTTAAAAATGTGAAAGATACACAGTAAATATTCTGTCTTATTTAACATGTATACATATGTGCCTAAAACCCTACATAACATACCTGGAAATATTATTGCAGAAACAAATAAAATATGTTACGCATTTGGCAAGGGGTAACATGTCAAGAACAATCTAAAAAAAGAACGCGGAACAACTGGAAACTGATTCAGAAATCCCTAAAGGCAAACAATCTGGTGAGACGAAAAAAAAAAGAGAGTAAGCAAACAAAGAAAGCTCACGAAACAATAAACAGCATACTTGGTCATACTTTTTTGTTCATTCCTAGTACCTCAGCAACAGCAAGAGTTTACAATATTAAAAGGAAGTAAATACTACTACAGAGCAAAAGACATATCATTGGAAGAAGAGGATTTAACCACATTTTTAGGAAACAATTAATGAAGCTAATTACAAGATATTGGTATTCTATACTCTGATGCTGGTTGATGGCCCCAAAATATAGACCAGAGAACAAGAGTTATGTTAGTAAAACATGGATCTAGACAAGTTAAAAGTTTTATTTAAGAAGATAATTATTTTCGGAAAGTGGAAAATATGGAAAAAGTGCCACGTCCATGGGTGGCGTATTCTTGAAAACTAGATGCAGTGTTCTGTTTTTCCTGGACCAAGCATGGGTAGGATTAGCGTGTCCGAACTATAAATCTCAGCAAAAACACGATCTATACTTTGTGGCTATGGATGAACTATAATAATGACAGTCAAATCCCACTATTCAGCCAGATATGAGTAACCAAATAACTTGTAATAGGCACTGTTGACTAGTTGCACAGACAATCCCCTCGTGTAGCACTGCGCGAAAAATCTAAGCAGTTTTTCCCTGTACAATTTTTGGCGACAAGACAATAAAACTAACTGGTGTAGGTTTTCGTTTCTGGCAAAGCATTAATAAAAAAGATATCGCGAGAAAATCAATTTAGATGTGAAAAGTAATAAATTTGAACTCCACAGCAGTAGGGGCGTTGAAATGTGACGGTTAATCCCTCTATTCATTGGTAAAAAAGTAGTTCAAGAGTTGGCGGGGGGTGGTGATGACTAGCTGCCTTCCCTTTAGTCTTTCACTGCTAAATTAGGGACGACTAGCTCAGATAGCCTTCATGTAGCTTTGCGTGAAATTCAGACCAAACCATTAGGCACAGGAGCTAACTTTTCCACTTGAGCTAAAACAGTTTCGTTTCAAAAATGATTTAACCTACTAACAGTTTCGCGAAGAGCTTGTCTTCTCTGTGCCAAATGTATAACTATTGCGATTACCCTATGAAATACGTCTGTTAAATGCTGCCATGTTGATTAAAATTTGAGCTGTGCTATGCACAGTAAAAAACCCCAGTGGCACAGCGGTATGTCTACAGACTTACAACGCTAGAAACCGGGTTTCGATACCCGTGGTGGACAGAGCACAGATAAACCCATTGTGCAGCTTTGTGCTTAACTTCAAACAAACAATGCAGTATAAAAAAATCATTTTCAGCTTGTTCGTTAATCTAGAAACGTGTTCGTTCATTAGGCACAGGCCCGGCATGGCCAGGTAGTTAGGGCGCTTGACTTGCAATCTGAGGGTCGCGGGTTCAAATCCTCGTCCCACCCAACATGCTCGCCCTTTCAAAGCAAGCTGTCAATATTTGAATGGATTAAAAAGATGTTCTTCGAAGAAATCTTCAGTGCATATGTCTAAAGGTTAAACATGTAATGGTAGACTGTAGCCCTGAAGTAAGTAATCAAGAGTAGCTGTCGTAAGTTTTAAGAACGTAAGTATCTAAGGAACGTTTGTATGTTTTTTTTTGTTGTTGTTGTTTATTAAGCTACACAAAGGGCTATCTGTGCTCTGTCCACCACGGGTATCGAAATCCGATTTCTAGCAGTATAAGTCCGCAGACATACCGCTGGGACGACGAGGGGGTTCCAAGAAATGGAGGTAGATGTTGACAAAAATTATATTTCTTGGATTATTGTCGAGAAGACCATAGACTCTGTTGCATCTCTGAAAGTCCAAGACAAAGGTGTGCAATTTAGGTTGTTGCAATTGAACAAAATGTAATTTTTCACCCCTTGTGGATGTCATTCTTAGAACCTTGTGCTGTGTTACGTTGCAAATTTTTGCAACTGTTTAAAAGTGTTTTTTTTTCTTTTTTTTCCTAAAATGATGTATACATTATACTTACGGCATCAATCTAGTATGTCGGTTAATTTGAAGTCCTTTTTCAGTATCGCTCTCAATACTCTTTCCGACACCAGGTAGGAATGTAAAATTGAACATGTAAAAGCGGTACGATACCAAACAAAAAGTATATTGGTAGACTAATGATACTGAAGGAAACTACAACGGGTATGCAACCCATTCTGGAGCTGGGTCATTAATAGATAAGCTAACACTATATAGATTTCTAATTTTTTTCAGTAGCTTGGTATGATGTGTTATACAAATAAATCTAGTGAGCAACCAAATACACAGCTCAAGTAATTTAGTAATTTAGTCAATGACATACTGTAAACCCTTCTTTAGTGTAGAGAAAATGGTTTCGAATTAAGGTGCCATTATAAACGTTATAGTATTGGCAGAAGAATTATCAATAGTTCCAGAAATAGCAGAGCACGTGGGCACCTAACACACAGGGAAGAAGAAACACGTGCTCCCCACTTTTTCCAGTTAAAGTAATATACATTATGTTAGGTTGACTTAGATTTTTTTTTGTCCTACAACTTTCATGTCAGACGAAAAAGCCCCCCAGTGGCACAGCGGTATGTCTGCGGACTTACAACGCTAGAAACCGGGTTTCGATACCCGTGGTGGGCAGAGCACAGATAGCCCTTGTGTAGCTTTGTGCATAATTAAAAAACAAACAACAACAAAAAAAAAAACAGACGAAAAAATCGCCTTGCTAGTTAGGAATATGAGGATAAACCAATTATTTCTGCACAACGATAATTTAAAACTGATATTTTTATGTTGTAGTCGACTGTGTTTTAATTAAGTTGAGTTGCTTGATGTCACATGGTTTACTGCAGTACAACCAGTAAAAGAACTGTAGCGCTATCCAGCGCCAAGGGAACTAAGCCAGATGTTGATAGAATTGACTTAACGGTTGAACGTTATCTATAATGCTTCCGATATCTGAGGATACTAGAATACTGAACTTTATTTACAAAAATGATTTAGTAACGATATATTTCAATGTGTGCAATGCTTCCAGAGTGCTTCTTACAGCTCCACTGACTGTTGCATCTGCCAAGAAGAATTTTTCAAAGTTGATTTTAATTAAAACCTATCTGTGATCGTTCATGTCTCAGTAGATTCTCACAGGATTGACCATGTTTTCGTTGAAAGGGATGTTTTATTTGCTCGTAGTTAAGCACAAAACTATCTGTGCTCTGCCCACCACGGGTATCGAAACCCGGTTTCTAGCGGTACAAGTCCGCAGGTATATCGCTGTGCCACTAGGGGGCTGAAAGAGATGTTGCAAGAAGGTTGAATTTCCAAAAAGAGATCAAATAATTTGTAAAAATAGTGATTAAAAAGTAAATTGTCATACGTTATGAAAAACATGTGAATACAGAAATTAGAATGGACGAATTTCCAACATCTGCACACAACTGCTCTTAGTTTTGAACTGATAGACGAGAGGAAACAGCCAACAGCATCTATAATCAACTCAATGATAGACTAGAGGGAACAGTCAACAGCACATATTTATTGTTACACTGGGTGGTCCAGAAATAAAAATTAATCTAAATATATTTCAAATATATATATAACCTTTTGTAAACAAATTGTTGCTTATGCTACATAGAAAGATAGAGGTCAGTTTGAGCTTAATAGAACCACCCAAAGTTGAGAACATTAATGTTTTAAACCAGTGGTCGTGGAATTTTGGTTTCGATTCAAAAATTGTAGAGCATCTTCTAATTCCTCTAAAAACGTCATACATTTGCAGTTGATTTAAATTTATCCCTCCTTAATTTTTTCCTCAAAATAACGTGTTCAATGTTTCACAATACTTTAAGGAAACACCATGCTGAGCAGAGCAGATAGCCACTAACACAAAACACTGCTATTTTTAAAATTAAAGTGTGCTTTATAATTAATGCATTGGAACCAGAACTCTTTGATCAGTTGATTAAAAACTCATTTTTCTTCATCTTAGATGTTTCTTTCAATACCAAACTGTTCACTGTTCCTTCTGTATAATGATAAGCAACAGTCTAGCTGTAAATATCTATGTTTTAAATAGATATTTAGCAGAATGAGGAATTATTGGCTCAACTGACAGAGTTTTATGTGGGAGAGGTAAAGGTGCGTGCAAGTGATACAGTACTAGGTTCAGGAGTCATTTTGTTGATGATTAAGAAAGGTTATGCTTTGCAGTAATGTAGTAGATATTGTTTAAACAATAGCTTATGAATATCTGGACCATAACATGTGTACTGGTTTGTATTTTCATTTCATTTTAACGGATGCTTAGTGAACACCAATCCAAGAAGTGGAACAAAAAGTGGCCAGAAAAAAGCAAGTTTTTAAAACTTTTAACAGAAATAAGAGAATTTCAAATCATTGTTACATTGAATAAGTTTAATTTTATATTTTATTCAGTGTTTGTGCATCGTTTAATTCTATATTTTATTGTATGAGATGAATAACAAATTAAAGGATAATAACTTAAAATTATAATTCACCGAAAGGAGGCCGACCTGGAGGGGTCACCTGTTTTAACCACTTGCACCACCACACAGTCAATCAGTCAGTCGACAATAAAATGACGTCAGATAAGGGGCACTTAATGTTGCAATTTCTACTGTTGTGACATCAGTAAAACGTGCGCATGCCATGAATCACTAGAAGAATTATGTAGTCTGTAGGCTACAACACAATGTGATCTATGAACTTCAATAGCAAGAAATATAAATATTTGTTACTATTAATTTGGGTTTTATTTACTCTTAGAACTGACCACTTTCGGGGACCCTGCGCAAGTACATATAGTATATGTTGGTTGATTTATTTTCTATGGCTACCTAGTCCTGTAAATATTAAAATAATTGTATCTTTTGTTATAATTAACACCATCAAATAACTGGAATTATATATCATAAATATTTGTAATTAAAATGCAAATATATTATTTTTCTTAATAAATTTAGAGACAATTTTCCCATGTTGGGAAGCATCCAAGATGGTTGAATTACAATGATATTTACTATACAACCATGGAATATTGTAGGGTAGAAGTTACTTTAATTTTACATTCAAAATTATTTTATTTATGCTGTAATTTAGTATACATGAATATTGATCTTTAACTATATAAATAATATAATTCTATTTTCAACAATAAAACACTATTGTGGTTTCAGAGTTTATAAATACTAAACATTTGCAGTGATTAGTGCACTAATAAGTCGCCGAATTATAGGCTTACAGTGGTGATTTATTTTACAATCACCTGCAAAATTACAGCGAAAATTACGAGTTAACTTTGTTTTACAGTATTCGTCATTGGCACCTTATTTGCAAGTACTTTTTACTGTAAATTACAGCATCTGTTTCTACAGTGTAACAATAACTCATTGTATAATGTATTACATAATATACTTATTAAGAAGTTACTACAGTTTATGTAACATACTGGCTTTGTTCCCCGGGGGTGGGGTGCAGCTAAATTCAGGGGTTCGATTCCCCTCGGTGGACACAGCCTGATGTAAAAACACACACACAGAGACACATAGGTTTCCCTACAGTTTTTTTACTATAGTGTATGAGACGTATCTACAACTCACTATGGTGTCTGTTAAATATATGTTGTATTAGCTATACTATTTGCTATTGGTAGACATGAAAACCTTACATAAATACACTAACCTAATATCATCCACACTGTAAATCGAATGAGCGTGAGGACAGATAGCTTCATTATCAAATAAATGTTGACTATAACAGCAACTGCTGGTACAAGTGGCACTCCAGGTGCTTTAAACTTGAGATCGCACCTGTAAAAAAATAAAATAAAAAGAACATCGTGTCGTTAACTTTAAGAATCGTCCTTGAAATTATCCTTAACGAATACTCATCGCTCAAAATCCATTGTTATAATAACCTATAAATAAAATTTAGGTTGTTAAAACTCATCTTGAAACTGTTACTTAAAACTTATATATTGTGGTTTTCCAATTATGGTACAATATAGACTAGCAAACTATACTCTGCAGTCTCTCAACAGCTTTGGAAGTACTTTCCAAGTACCCGTTTTTTTTCAGAGTCATTATTTTTTGTTCCTGAAAAGTAAACGAAATATCTTTGCTTTCCAGTTAAATTAGATTTAATGTTTTTTGTTCTTGTTGTTGGTACTTTATAAACAAACCTATACGGCATACCTTGTCTGTGGCTGAAGGCTGATCACAATCAGACAAAGAACGATCCCCAAAAGGCACAGAAAAAGAAACAACAGTGCTGTTATGTCTCTGCTCTCCAAGGCCGGCATCGCACAGACAACGAGCAAATCAAAGGTAATTATCAGAAGATACAACAGCCCAACTATCTTCATTACAAACTTCCCTGAATTCTCTGACGCACGTTTAGAAGCAGCCCATTTGTAAGGAAAAAGACGTGTCATGATTTTATCGAAGAGTTTCTGGAACGTATCGGAAATTCTGGATTTTGGGGAGGACTTCTGGTGAACTGTTCCATAAACAGAGCTTCCTGCGCAACCATTTGGCACCAGAAGATCGAGATCTTCAGATTTCTGAAAGGTTTGGGTCTTGTCCAAATGGTTGATGCCGTTTGAAGCTGATAATGAATCCTCGCTGTCGGACGAATCCACCCGATTAGTTCTTTTTGTGTGAATCGTTGTTCTACAGCTGTCAATGGGCATTGACATCTCCTTACAGGGTGTGGGATAAGCAGATCTGATGGATTCTGGGAGAAGCTCCACTAAGGTAGTGTTCTGAGGCTGGTACCGCAAAATGAGAACACATGTGGATACCAGAGTGTAGGCCATCAGGGTTCCTAGGGACAGAAAGTAACAAAAACTGTAAGTTATATATACAGGGCGTTGCAAAACTCCCATTCTTACTGTGATTTTTCTAAGTCATGTCTGGGTCTCACTAACTATCTCATTTTTTGAGGTCATTAATCTTACAAAAACTTGTCGAAGTGAAGCACAACTTGTGGTATAAACGGTACAGTATGACGTAGAAAAATCATGGTACTGTACGACTTTTGTATCGCTCTGTGTAATGTATGTATATACATCATCAATGTCAAAACATTGGCAACAATCTATCAATTAATGTAGCTTGATGTCTGACAAACCTAAAGTAGGAAAAACAGCACAATGTATAGAGGGAGAGAACAAGAATGAAAGACAGAAGGGCTTATAGAAAAATTAAAAGTTTAAAAGATACAGTAAAGGTGAAGAATAAAATAAAATAAAAGTAAGTAACTAGAGAAACAATGCAACTTTTCGATGTGTCAGTTTATAGGTATGTTGATAAAAATTACTGAATGTTTTTTTTCTAGTTTCCCTTACCAATTGACATCATCTCCACCAGTACATCCAAGCTTATAATAAAAGTAACTAGAGAAACAATGCAACTTTTCGATGTGTCAGTTTATAGGTATGTTGATAAAAATTACTGAATGTTTTTTTTCTAGTTTCCCTTACCAATTGACATCATCTCCACCAGTACATCCAAGCTTATAATAAAAGCAACGACTGTAGTGGCGCCACCTAGGACACATGTTGCGGCAGCAGGTGTTCCCGTGTAAGGCCATACACGAGAAAGTGACCTTGGATATGATTATAAAAAAATCTAATTATTTACTTACATACACTTATTATTTTACTCGAGATAATTTAATAAGGAAAAATAAATGTAAGAAAACAATAATATATAAAATCACTTACAAAGGTTTGGAGAAATTTCATGAAAATCAAAGTCTTTTGAAAATCTTTTCGTACAAACACTACATATAAACATATACCTGTACACACACACACACACATATATATATATATATATATTTATTTAAAAATATTTTAGTTTTCATGCAATAATAATAATATATACATATATATATATGCGCACTTGTTACTCAGAATTACACACACAAAACGTTATTTCAAAACAGACACGCACGTAAACACGGGGGTTCTCTTTAGAAACTCCTCCAGATCGAATCTTGTTTGAAAAATATTCGTATAACAAAATCTTAAAAAAGGTCTGATTCACCAATATTTCAAATATCAATACATTCGCTGCAGATGAAATTTAAAAGTTTGAAAGTTAGTCAAGAATTAAATCTATGGATAACTCAGGGAGGAATATTCTTAGGCCAGATTAGTTCAAGTTATTAATTTACTTGTAGTGAAAACAAACTCAAACACAAGTTCCATTAGGGATGCACACATGTTGGTTCAGATAGAGTGAAAACAAACTCAAAAACAAGTTAAATTACTGAAAATACAAATTAGTTGAAATACACTGAAAATATACTGAAACATAAATTAAATTACAGAAGAACACATATTAGTTGAGAACAAACCCCAAAACAAGTTCCATTAGAAAAAACACACATGTTAGTTGAGATAGAGTGAAAACAAACTCAAACACAAGTTCCATTACAGAAGACCACATGTCAGTTGAGATAGAGTGAAAACAAACTCAAAAACAAGTTCCATTAATTAAGCACACATGTTAGTTGAGATAGAGTGAAAACAAACTCAAACACAAGTTCCATTAGGGAAGCACACATGTTAGTTGAGATAGAGTGAAAACAAACTCAAATACAAGTTCCATTAGGGAAGCACACATGTTAGATGACATAGTGAAAACAAGCTCAAACACAAGTTCCATTAAGGAAGCACACATTTTAGTTGAGATAGAGTGAAAACAAATTCAAATACAAGTGTTATTAGGGATGCACACATGTTAGTTGAAATACAATGAAAACAAGTTTAATTACAGAAGAACACAAATTAATTGAGATATAGTGTTCAGTTCATCATCGTGAGAGCCGAAGATTGCATGCACTAACAAACACATCAACCTAGGCTAGCTAGCTACATAAAGACAAACCTGAAGATAAGTCCGTCTTTAGCCATGGCGTATACTATTCGAGGCATTGGAAACATAGATCCGAACATACTAACGATCAACCCAGCCAGGGCACCAATAGCTACAATGAATTTAGACTTTGGGGCTCCTCTCTGTTCGAATATTTCCACTAGAGCAGACTCGGGGTTTATCTGGTCGTAGGGAACAGCTAGTGTAATCTAGGAAATCGGAACAAAAAAAGTTGTTTACGTTTTTATCAAAACAACCACAGGCATCTAACACAAAGAGTGAAAGGTCATGCGGAATGTCGTGAAAATCGTATATACTACTGTGTCACTTCACCACCCACAAAAGTGGTGGGTAAACCGTATATTCACAGATAACTATTAAACCAACAATAGTAATAGGGGGCAAACCGTATTTTCTCTCAGAATTACTAAAACAGCAACAGTAATGACGTGTA